TTAGAAACGGATAGTAAATTTTCTCAAATTATTCGTCAGCTTGATACGATTATTCCAGTCTTGCGTTTCGTTTTTTATAGTTGTTGGCAATCGGTAACTATGAAAATGAGTCGCAAGGCTGGAATAATCGCATCTCCGCTTCCCAAATTGTCCATTTTTGTGCGCAATTTGAGCGCGAATTAAGGAGAAATTACTGAATTATTTTCTTGTATGATAAAAGGTTTTCACTGCGACAAATTTTAATGAAATGTAAACCATGGAATATATAGTGACAAAAACAGAAAAAATGTGACAGTCTTATATGGAGTTCAGCAAGAAACGTTAATGTTAATGAATGGATCATTTTTCTTTTTTTTATTATAAAGCTGTGAACCCGCACATATATGTCCATTTGGATTACAATTTCATTGAAGTATTATAGAATTACATTAGAGTTACAATATAAGAAAATTATCAATTACAGAACATGCAAATTATAAATGAACATTGTGGTTACAAAGAAACTTAAAAATAAACATTAGTAGAGATATATAGTAAATTCTCCCTAATTTTAGCTCAGATTGTTCACAAAAATGGACAATTTGGGAAGAGGTGAATACGATAATATTACGATGATACGATTTTTATAGTTACTGATTGTCAACAGATTCATACCTCCTCTTCCTAAATTATCCATTTTTGTGCACAATCTGAGCGTAGGGAGAATTCACTATATATATTAATTGGTTTTGAAAGAAATTTCAGTAAATTCTTCTTAATTGACGCTCAGATTGTACAGAAAAATGGACAATTTGGGAAGAAGAGATACGATTATTCGAGCCTTGCACTTCGTTTTTATAATTGTTGACAATAGGCAACTATAAAAATGAGCAGCGAAGCTAGACTAATCGTATTCCCTTTTCCCAAATTGTCCATTTTTGTGTACAATCTGAGCGTCAATTAGAGGGAAATTACTGTACATCCATCGAATGCAGAGGGAGAAGATCAATAGAACATAAGCTCCTAATTAATTTGTCTCTATCAATATCACAATGCCACATGATATCGTTCAGGTCCTAAATTGGGTGATCGCACCGATATTTAGAATCAGGAGCGAGATTGATTTGAAAAAAAGAAGCCAGTTGGGTATGGTCTATATTTTAATAATAATAATATATATATTTTAGTATATATAGATAATACTATATTTTAATACTATATAGATAATACTATATATTTAACACTATAATATAATAAATAAAATACAAAAAAAATATAATATTTAATACTATATAGATAATACTATATTTTAGTATAGTATAGTATGACTATAGGTGTAGAATTGATCGAAAAATTTAGTACCCTTATATGCAGCCTGTTCAAGCAATTGCCTCGCACTTTCTTGTTTGGCATACTTCCGGAAGCTCTGGATGAGATCGGTGTAGGATATCATAATTTCAGGCGAGCCCTCCCGGTGCGAAGCTTCCTTCGCTAAGCTATCCACGTATTCATTATGGCATATACTACTTGCTAGTCTGCAAATAGAAATGGTTTAAAAATAAACGAAGAGGTATGCAAACCAGCTCTTTCGTATAGTAATATTAATTTACGAGATAATTCGTAGACTATTGGAAAAGAGTGGTTTGGTCTGATGAAACAAAAATATGCAAACTTGAATCTGATGGAAGGTCCTGGTATTGGACATCCGATAGTACGAATCTTTAAATGACAGATGGAAAACAGAAAATGAAGTTCGGAGAAGGTTGTATTAAGTATACTGGAAAATTCTGTCCGATAATGTCATTTCAAGTTGCAATACGTGTGCTCATGTTCATCTGAGACATATATTTTTCAGAAATGGTATTTATGAATTGTCATCGCGGTGGCAAGGGGTCATAAGCAACGACGGAAATTATACAGGGTGTCCCAAAAATGTCTCGCAATCCGGGAACAGAGGATTCCTGAGATCATTTGAAGTAACTTTTTCCTCTGCGAAAATGCAATTCGCGGCTTCGTTTACGAGTTATTAACGAAAAACACTGACCAATGAGAGGCAAGCTCGGCTGGCGCGAGGCTGTCCAGCCAACGAGCGCACGCGGCCCAGTTCCACTCATTGGCTCGGTCGCCTCGCACCAGTCAATCTCGCTTCACATTGGTCATTATTTTTCGGTAATAACTCGTAAACGAAGCCGCGGATTGCATTTTCGATGAGGAAAAAGTTGCTTCAAATGACCTCAGGAATCCGTCATTTCCCGGAGATACTATAATTTTAGGACACCCTGTGTATCCATGTCTAGTCGATAAATGAAGTATTTCGAAGAAATATAACTGATGAATAAATTCTTTCGCTACGATGTCAGATGGGACCGTACAAAAATCTTTTAACCTCCTGCAATACTTTCATGAGTCTGACACGTGTTGGAGATTTCTAGGAAGAACCTGTTAAAAGTATGAATATTATTCCGTTCTTTTAATTCTAAATTAAATTCTGTCTCTTGTCATCGATATTTAAGCATTCAAACAAATGCAGGCATACAATAAATATAAATTGTCGTGCTTCCACTTAAAAATTACTACAATCGAAAAACCTCTAATCATTGCAACTATGAAAAAAATGGTACGGCAAGGGGTTAAGGATGAACTGTTTCAATGAAAGAGTTGTGCTCAAAACAAATTCGTGTAAAGCTTCCCACGAATAAATTCATTTCATCGCGTATCAATTTGAAGATTATTCTTTTGCCATATGAGCCGTTTATTTTGAAAGTGGCATAAGTCACTTTTTCAAAAAAAATCGAGTTAATGGTAACACTAATTACAATTGAACGGTATCTTTTCATTTAAAAAAAAAAAGTGACTTATGCCACTTTAAAAATAAACGGCTCATATTTGAAATAAAAAAGGTACCGAAATATTTGATAATGTGAAACTGCTATTATTTCAAACGGATCGATGTTATATCATTTTCAAATAACAGCACTGAAAATACCGCTTCGAAATGAATTATTTCAAATGAGCCCAATCGAGTCCTAAACCGGTGGCAAATCAGAATTATGGTCCCGAAAGCTACAAATACGATTACTTCATAACCTAGTTGATTTTAGGAATATCTTATCAGCGGCTATACGAGTCTTGTCTGGTTTGCGTTCCAGGTCTCCCAAAAGTCCGGGATTTGGGAGGGCGGGAACTTTCCTTCGGCCGGGGGCGCGGAGGGTGGTCCCTCTCGGAGCGTGTCGCACGCGGCGAGTCTGGACGCGATCTCCAGGAGAACCGTGAAACCGGATACAGCGAGGACACCGTGTCGCAGCCTGACCTGCAGCGTCTGTAAGTAGTCTGCGGACCGATCGGCCGTGTTGCTCGTTCGCTCGTCCTTTTTTTGGACCTTCTGTTTTCTATTCGTGTTCTCGGTATTTTTTCGTGGGTTGCCTATTCACGTACTTTATAGCTCGAGCTTCTTTCTGTGAAACGGCGACTTTTGTTCGTTTTTTATCTCTGTTCTGATAATTCTTTTTTTTGTCATTTCTGTTCGTTTTTAATCGATGGCCGGTACATATACATTACGTGTAATTTATACGTAGGTGTTGCATTTTGCCTTCGTGCGTCACTCTTTCGTTCCGCGATCGCACGAGGACGAGAGACCGGATCGCCTCCCGAGGATCCAGCCGCGACCATCGCCGTCTCGATCCTCCGAGATCACTCCGCTTTCCCTGAACGTTTTCCAACGGACGCGTGTTTCCCGGGGCGTATTTTCGATCGACGACGCGGAGGATAATGCTGTCGCATGCGATATTTCGTGTCGCGACTGTGGACAGATAGCGACCGCCGCGTGTCCGTCGTCTCGACGCTTTCGCGTGCCGCGGTTATCGATGACGATCAATCGTCCTCCGATCTGATCGGTTTTCATAATCGATAAATCGTGACGGACGCTTTTAAGGCCTTCTTTGTCCAGTTGCTCTTTGGAAAACGTTGCGTCGAAAAAATCGCGGTTCAAGGCTCTTGAGAAGATCCAGCGCTCGTTGACCGTCATTTCTGGTGTACTTTTTGAAAAATGCCGATATAGAAACTCAAAATTGTGAATGCTACTGAAAATAAATTACTTCATGTTACATGTATTCTATATACATTAAATAAGAGTAAACAAAGCTATCAGAATTCCGTAAAAGGATTGAAATTTTTTGTGTAAAGTAGCGCAGTGAAAAACACATATTTCGATTTAGAATTCCAGGTTTAATATACAATGACAGATAGGAGAAATAATTATAAAATTCTTTCTTGAGAAAAGCATAACTTGCAGAAATAAAATGTACTGTCATAATTGGAATGAATATCGAGGGTGTAAACAATAAATGACAGATGAAAATAATATCCTTTACTTGGATGCTATGTTTAATCTCCGCTGTACCACGTCCGGGTCCTTTCAGACCCAGAACTCGAGGCCTACCTTGACCGTTTAACACTTAATGCCGTTTGCCGTTTATTTATATTAGAGCAATAACGAATTTTGTATACACTATATTATTATAGTATATAAATTATTATATTATTTATATATATTGTATAACTATTATATTATTTATACACTATATTATTATATGATTAGCACAAGTCTCCTTAGAAATTAAAATAAAAATACAATAAAATCATAGTAATAATAATAATGACGATGACAACAACATAACTTTAGTTAAAAAATTTTATATATATAAAAATATATATATAACAATATTATGTACATATATATAACAATACCAAGGTATAACGGTATAAAAATTGATATAATGTATACATAAACATTTATATATAAAAATTTAAATATAATATCTAAATATAAAAATTTTATATATAAACGTTTATATATTTTCATGGGTCCGTCTGGACCCGAACGTGGGGCTACGTGTGAACGGCCCCAACCACCGGTACTGCGAGGATTAATACTACAACATTTCACCATTTCCACGCTTTAAAAAAATCTATTCCAAAAGTCAAATTGTCGATTTTAACTTCTGCGGACATGACGTAAACAATAGTATCAAATGCGCACTGGATGTTTAATTTTTCGACCCTCGTATTTCCAAACGAGCTTCCTTTCCCACTGTGGGACGAGTTCTCGATCACCCCTGCGCAAGGGTGAAAAGGAGAGCGTCGCTATCTGTCGACGATGAAAGTTTGAATATCGAAGATGCCGCGCACAGAGGCCTCGTTTCGCCTCGGCTACGCCAGTTGGCGCCAGTTTACGAGATTCAACCCCTCCGTAACAAGCCCCGAAATCAACCCCTAGAGCCTCGGGAACGCGATCCCGTCTCCGTTCCGTCGGTCATCTCCCAAGTTCTCCAGGCATACCCGCGCGCATACGTCCGAGATCCCCGTGAAAAATCAGGCCTGACCGTAACCGAGGCGCGGCTGCGGCTGCGGTTGCGGGCTGTTGTTTTTCCAAAAGTCAAACCATAGAAACGTATTTTAGTAGCGGGCCGAGGGAGCGAACACGTCACTCTCGAGCGACGGCCAGCGACAGTCGATAATCTCACCGAAGGTAAAACAGAACAGGAACGGAGCGGCCAGCCTGCTCCCCCTTTGGTTTTGATCTTTTAACCGACCGAGCGCCGGCGAGTTTGCACCCCTTTTACAACTTACCAAGCGCTTGCGAGCTTACTTTTTTTGGTCATCAGCTTACCAGAGATAACGAACCGCGTTGTCCGATCGAGCTTTCATAGGCCTGTTTCTTTTACTTGGACTTCTTTCATATGTCGTACACTGGGCCAAACGATTCGGCGATCGATTTTGGATCGGAAACATTGTCGATGTTCGAACCGGGGACTTTTAACCGAGATATATCGGTATCTTTTCTCGGTTGTATCTTCGAAAACCTTGTAGAAACCGAAATACGAAAATTTCGGTATGACGTCATGTCGCTGTATAAATAATTATATTAGTGTATTATATAATCTAGCACACTATGTTATGGTATATATATACTATACAATTTGCACTAGTTCTTCTCGACGCGTTCCGTAAAAAATCTAGCGTTAAAAATACTTTGGAAATTATAATGAAATAGGGAAATCGAAAAAATTAACGATAATTACCGGTAAATACAAATATATATACACGCTAGGGAAATCGAAAAAATTAACGATAATTACCGGTAAATACAAATATATATACACGCTAGGGAAATCGAAAAAATTAACGATAATTACCGGTAAATACAAATATATATACACGCTAGGGAAATCGAAAAAATTAACGATAATTACCGGTAAATACAAATATATATACACGCTAGGGAAATCGAAAAAATTAACGATAATTACCGGTAAATACAAATATATATACACGCTAGGGAAATCGAAAAAATTAACGATAATTACCGGTAAATACAAATATATATACACGCTAGGGAAATCGAAAAAATTAACGATAATTACCGGTAAATACAAATATATATACACGCTAGGGAAATCGAAAAAATTAACGATAATTACCGGTAAATACAAATATATATACACGCTAGGGAAATCGAAAAAATTAACGATAATTACCGGTAAATACAAATATATATACACGCTAGGGAAATCGAAAAAATTAACGATAATTACCGGTAAATACAAATATATATACACGCTAGGGAAATCGAAAAAATTAACGATAATTACCGGTAAATACAAATATATATACACGCTAGGGAAATCGAAAAAATTAACGATAATTACCGGTAAATACAAATATATATATATAATTTTATATAATTTTATATTTTATATTTTATATATATTTATATTATTAATATCGTTAATTTTTTCGATTTCCCTATTTCATTATAATTCCCAAAGTATTTTTAACGCTAGATTTTTTTACGGAACGCGTCGAGAAGAACTAGTCCAAATTGTTTAATTTGTTATTATTGCAATTGCAAAGATGCATTTATGGAATATCATTCGATAAATTTCATTGGACGTATGCTATGATCAAAATTGCTGAAACTGTAAATACATTAATATTTGTTGCTACAGGAAACAATATAAAATAGCTGCTTTCGATCTTAGTGTTGAGCACAGATTTAGAATCAGTAATTATTATACTATTGGTATTATATATTAACAAATACCGCAGCTAGTTACAATCTATAATAATTGACATATCTTATACGTACAATGTTGCCGATCAGCACCGCTGTGGTCACTAGATTTTGACAAGGACAAACGAATCATACACGTGCAGTAAATTCTTCTTAATTGACGATAAAAAATGGCGCATAAAAATGAACAATTTGGAAAGAGGAGACCAGCCGGAGTGACTAATTTTCAATTTTTTCTTTCACAATTCTTGACATTATAAAAATATTTCCATGAGAAACTTTTCCGGAAACTTCTTTAATCGAGCATATATTATAATAAAAAATCCTATGAAGTTCAAATAAATTAAATTTTGTTATTGTTATGAAACAATATACAGCAATATACACAAAAATTGAGTTTTAGGAAGGGGATATACGATTATGCGAGCCTTGCGGCTCCTTTTCATAGTTACCGATTGTCAACAACTATAAGAACGAGACGCGAGGCTCGAATATTTATTTATTTATTTATTTATTTAATAATAAACGGGCATAAGCCCTTGTAGTACATGGAAATTATAACGAAGAACTATAGTACAAACAGAAAGACATAACAGAGACAGAATAGAAGTATCTCCTCTTCCCAAATTGTCCATTTTTATCTGAGTGCGAATTAGAGAGAAATTATTGTATATCCATTCGTGCGACAACAGTTGCACTATACTTTATTATTCTAAAATATATTGATCCTTTTTTATATTACAATGTAATATCATGTACGTAATTTTATAATTACAATTAATGAAGCTTTTAAACTTAAAATCTATCGTCTGCCGTGTTACCAAAAGGAAAACCAAAAAAATACCGATTTTTATTTCGGCTTCGGTATTCATTTCAGTTTTACAACAATTTCCGCGTTAGGCACAGCCTTATCAGTGCAATACAGGTATCAAAATCGTGGAAAGAAATCCTACAATAGTCTACCTGGGCTTATTTCTTCCTTTAGCGTATTCTTGGAAGCACTGGAACGAAATTTTCTTAAAAACAAATCACTTCTCGCGCTCTCTTTTCGTGTTTTCTTCTTTAATACGCGAAAGTAATAACGTTGCGAAAAACGCTGTATATCCTCATTTTGGAACGTCTAAAGAATGTTCAGTTTTCGGGGCACAAAATAATAAATGGTTTAAACGTGACGAGACCATTTCTAATCCGTGGAGTGTGTCGCATCCCACGTGTACCAGACGGAATTTTAATGCAGTCTGCACAGAAAAGGTTAAAGTCTGTGGCCCGTGGCTAAACCCAACTTCATTCTTTCAAAGGTCATTTTTCATTTCAGAACGGAGCGAACAAGTGAAGTATGCTATTTCTCTTCGAACTTTACAAAATTCAAAGGGCGCTGTACAGTTTACACTCAAGGTCTATAACATATTTAAATTTCATTCAAACCGGAGTGGAAGGTCATGTTGTAAATAATTCCCGATAGTTTTTATTAGCGTCGTGAGTTTGAAGAGGAAAAACGGCAGCTTAAGTTTACCCATTCCATTTTGCGATAAAAAGGGATATTCGCGGAGAAATAAATTGTGAGCAGAGGGGGGGGGGGGGTTCAAAAGTATCTAGATTCTTACAAAACGGGCACAGGTAGACTATTGTACGACTTTTGTTCACGAAAAGTTATAATATTGGGTTGGCAACTAAGTAATTGCCGATTTCAGTTATAGATGTCTCTCACGCCCATTTTTATGATATCCGTAAATGTTATATTATAAAATTATTATTATTATTATTATGTTATTTTTTATTATCCGTAAATGTTAGCAACTGGACAAATTGAATGCAGCGATCAAGGAAAAGCGACCAGAATTGGTCAATCGTAAAGGTGTCATTTTCCACCGGGACAATGCTAGGCCGCACACGTCTTTGTCCACTCGACAAAAATTGATAGATATTGGTTGGGAATTGATGTTACACCCACCATACAGCCCTGATCTCGCGCCATCGGATTACCACTTATTTCGATCCCTGGACAACTCCCTTCGTGGTAAAACTTTTAATGACGATGACGCTGTAAAATCTCACTTAACTCAGTTTTTGGCCGAAAAGGATCAGACTTTCTACGAGTGTGGAATTTTCAAGTTGTCAGAGAGATGGCAAAAGGTCATCGAACAAAATGGAAAATACATTACAGATTAACTTCATTCCAAGTAAAAACAATTTTTTATTTCATTGAACAAATCGGCAATTACTTAGTTGCCAACCCAATAGTTCGAGTACCGGCAACTTCCTCGATCCTTCAATGATCCTTGAATTTTTTAGCCTAGTGTATATTTATATATAATATAATATGTATATTATATATATACTGCCTCCATATATCGCCTATAATACATCTCTATTTACTCGTTTACAGTCTCCACCGTCTGTCTCTCTCACTCTCTTTCTCTCATTCTCGGGATCTCCGAACGCGTTACACTGTTTCAGCCTCTCTCTCTCTCTCTCTCTCTCTCTCTCTCTCTCCCGTTTCTTCCTCTTCTTCCATCGAGCGTTGAGCAAAGCGTGATCCGATTACCTGATAATATTGACGCCTGCTTCCCGTTGTTTGTCGCTCTTGTAGTTTTAAGCCGTTCTCGGCAAAGATAAAGGTCAAAAGAATCGGATCGGCTTTCCCTCGACTCTGGCTTCCCACGTTTGCCGACATATCCGTCTCGTCAACTTTTACCGTAATTTCTCTGCGAAACCGAGCACCGTAGCATATCGCTCGGCCAGCCATCTTGTAGTCCACGTCCTGCACAAGATCTTCTCATTTTCTTTCGCGTCGAAGCGTTAAAAGCGGCGCCGATTAAATGAAAATGAAGGGATCGGAAACGTTGCGACAAGACCGGCTGACCTCAACACACGGCTTCCACTTTGTTTCTCGAATCACGAGATCGATCGCGATCTACCGGGCGGTTCACGTCGATCTCTGGAATCGGTCCCGATCTCGGGCACGCTCTCTTCGACGGAACACGCGAGCATCATTGTACAAATCATCGTCTCAGATACCGTCTCTCCCATTGTACGCTCTTTTTCTATCTCACTCTCTCTCTCTCTCTCTCTCTGTCTCTCTTTCTCTCGCTCTCTCTCTCCCTGTTTTTGTTTTGTTTTTCGTCTGTCGTATGTATGTATTTGGATACTACGTACACGGATGTATGTACAAACGTTATAAATAATTCTCTACTGCATACAACTCGAACCGTAGCGGTTTACTGCATTTGTTTTGGATCTTTTGACGAATAACTTACACGGTCTTTACAAAAAAACATTTAAACGATCTTTCTTTCACAGGTATGCAGCTTCCTAGTGCGAATTGACTAACTTGTTAACGATACACTACTTTAACGCTTCTAGATCGGAGATATAGGCTCGGTTGATCCGTTGGTTGGTTTATTGACTATCATTTTGATTTACTCTACGTCCGTAGGCTCTCTGATATACATACATATATACATATACAGGGTGTACTTGAAAAGTATGCGCAAGCGGATATCGGATAGCGATTCCTCATTAAAAAAGGCACGAAAAAATATAGAATAGCTTTTCTGTTTTATGACTTAGTTTCCGAGAAAATCGAGTTTGAACACTCAAACATGAGTTTTTTATTTTTTCCATCATTCCAAGCAATAGCAAAATTTTAAAAAAGCATTCTTCTTATGATCTAGTAGACTGGTCGCTCTATCGTTTGAAAACAATTCGAGTCGTTTAGTCCAGTTCCAAAAACAGTTATTGCGTTTTTAAATGTTGTCCGAACATTAATGGGAGTCACTGTATCACCCTTAATGTTCGGACAACTTTTCAAACGCGATAACTTTTTTAGGGCTGGACTAAACGACTCGAATTTTTTTCGGACGATAGAGGGAGCAATCTACTAGACTATAACTAGAATACTTTCTTTTTAATTTTGCTATTGCTTGGTATAACAAAAATTAAAAATACTCATGTTTAAATATTCAAACTCGATTTTTCTCGGAAACTAAGTCCCAAACAAAAAAAAGAGATTCTACATTTTTTTCATCTTTCTTTACGAGGTTCGCCTGGTGCTCGCTTGTACATACATTTTAGGGACACCCTGTACACATATGTACCACCATTTGTTACAATAGTTACACACAGTTTGTCCGAGTAATGAGCCTTTTGTTGGAGATCGTTGGCGAATTTGGTTCCTTTTGTCCGTACGATTTAGACACGAGGCATCCCTTTGGCTTTGTCATCGCGCGCGAGCGCGCACGTACACACATACAGACGCACAAAAGAATCCTGAAACACACATGTATTTTTACCATTTAGATTAGTGCGTGTGTATATTGTAAATCGATGTTGTACTACCGTACAGATTTCCGCCGGGCGATTTTGATCCTCTGCGAGCTTTTGCGTTTGCTGGAGAATAGTTGTCCGGATCGATTAGCCGTCGATGATCGATCGATTTTCTTTCCATTCGCGCCTCGAGCTCTTTCTCTCTCTCTCTCTCTCTCTCTCTCTCTCTCTCTCTCTCTCTAGCTTGTCTTTCCAAACCGATTGCGAGAACAGAATTAATTAATCGCTCGCGTACGTAAGTTAGCGCGCCAGGTCGAATCACGTTGATGTCAATTTGATTTGATCGACATACTTTGGGAAACACAAGTTGTTTAGTTTTGTTCTTAATCGAGCCTGTATGTCACACGTATAGTTCTGTAATAAATAACTAGGTTAACGAAAACGGTCACCGTCGAACCATGCGAGGAACGCGAAGCACATTGATTTGACGCGACCGTTTGTGTTTCTAGCAACTAAACATTCGAAAATCTTTCCCGGCGTCGTGTCCGAAAGTGACTTGCAGAAATGGAGGACGTCCAAGGACCGGAAGTCGCCGTCCCTCAGCCAGGTGGGGCCGGATTCCATCAAACACAAAGTGAGTATGCGCGATTCGAGTTTACTTCGTTCGAGCTTACGCGATTCGATTTTACGCGGTTCGAGCTTAAAGCGATACGAGTTTACGCGGCTCGAGTTTACGAAATTAATCCATCGCATCGCATAGTTTTCGATCCTATAGGACTAGAGGGGATTTTGAGCGAAAATTAATAACTCCTGAACTAATTCAATCTAAATCTAGGAAAATCTATCTTTTGATCGATTATGAAAAACGTACAATTTTATTGAAAAAAGTTGAACACGTTGACTGCCAAATTGGTGACATATGCGTGACGCTTTCGACCGGCTTTCGAAATTAATTTTCAGGAGGTTTGGAAAGCACAAGAGTTAAAATACCAATCACGATGATAAATTCGAACTTTCGAGTTTTAGTTTAATTAATGGTGTGGGAATTTTTGGGGTCGATTTTCGGCGTTTAACGTTTTAAATAATCTTAATTCATTTATTAAAGTCAAAGTTACTTATCGATTTTATGATTGCAATTTGTTGTCACATAATTACTGAGCAACTTTTGTTTAAACAATTTTGTTGCCAGTTTATCGCTAAAAACTTTCCTTTAAAGAAAAATGTTTGCAACAAATTTTTCAGATATGAGTTATTCATTAATTCTTGTGACAACAAATTTCCGCAGTTCCACATTTTTTCATTTTAAATGTGTTGAAATTATAAAGGATCTTCCGTTGTAAACGACAGTATACGAAATGCAGAAAGAAACTTTTCGGTACTTCTTTTAAAAGCCTCTTTAAAATAGGTACACATTTGATATGAAAAATTATCAACATATCTTGTTATTCTCACAAAATGATTCAATCACTTAAAAGATTCTATAGTACTGAAATCAACTTATAAAAATCAGATGAAAGTATCAAATATACTTCCAACTGGCTACATGATTGAAGAAATGCATTGATTTCTTGCAGTCAACTTCAAGTTGAACTTTCAACAACGGTTTGGTACACTCTACAAAAACTGTACTTACAAAGTGGCTAGTTTTACAAACTATACAGAGTGTCCGAAAATTATGTTACTCCTGAGAAATGGTAGTAACATAAATAAGTTCTTGAGGTCATTTGAAGTAACTTTTTCCTTAACACAAATGCAATCCGTGGCTTCGTTTACGAGTTATTAACGAAAAACACTGACCAATGAGAGGCGAGATCGGTTTACGCGAGGCAGCCGAGCCAATGAACGGAACTGGGCTCCGTGCGCTCGCTGGCTCGGCCGCATCGCGCTAGCCAAGCTCGCTTCTCATTGGTCAGTGTTTTTCGTTGATAACTCGTAAACGAAGCCGCGGATTGCGTTTTCGCTAAGGAAAAAATTTCTTCAAATGACCTCAGGAATCCCTCATTTCCCGGAAGTAACATTATTTTCGGACACCTTGTATTTCGCCAGTAATTAAACACGTATCGTTTCGAACCTGACTTTGTCCGTTGCTCCCTGTTTCAGTTCTCCTTGCAGGACAATGGATCAGCGAAATACTTCCAGGGAGCCATGCACGCGTCGAACATGGGAGAAAAGGTACGACAGGTAAGTCAATTTTCCGAAAATCAAATCAGATTTAAAAATCGAATTGTCTCCAATTCCGACGCGCTTCCCGGTACGACATAGTCGTCGGATTGAAATACAGTAATGTCTCTCTAATTGACGCTCAGATTGTTCACAAAATGGAAAATTTTAGAATAGGAGATACGATTAGCCTTGCGACTCGTTTTTTATGGTTATCGATTGTCAACAACTATCGTATCTCCTCTTCCCAAATTGTCCATTTTTATGCACAATCTGAGCGTCAATTAGGGTACACAACATCGCGTCAGACTTGGTACAAAGATTTTGTACAGAATTTATCCATAGAACATGACTGTTGTTGATTCCTTTTAATCCGAAATAATAGTTCTTTCGTTTATAACAATACATCACTTCATTAAACGTTTTCATGCAACAAATATAAATATCCTCTTTCTAGGCAGGGAATTATGAACGATAAAAAAATTCAAACCATCGCAACTTTAAAAAAAATCATGGATCAAAGGGGGTTAATGTTAACTTAATTAACTTAACTAACTTCATCGCAAGGGATTCACGCTTACAGTGATTACGGTACGATATGGTCCTCGGATCGAAATACAGTATTGTCTCTCTAATTGACGCTCAGATTGTCCACAAAAATGGAAAATTTTGGAAGAGGAGATACGATTAGCCTTGCGACTCGTTTTTTATGGTTATCGATTGTCAACAACTATCGTATCTCCTCTTCCCAAACTGTTCATTTTTGTGCACAATTTGAGCGTCAATTAAGGAGACATTACAGTACAGTAAATTCTCCCTAACTGGCGCTCAGATTGTGCACGAAAATGGACAATTTGGGAAAAGCAGATACGATTGCTCGAGCCTTGTGACTCGCTTTTTATGGTTATCCATTGTCAACAACTATAAAAAATGAGCTGGAAGGCTCGAATAATCGTATCTCCTCTTCCCAAATTGTCTATTTTTCTGCACAATCTGAGCGTCAATTAGGGAGACATTACTGTACAGTAAATTCTCCCTAACTGGCGCTCAGATTGTGCACGAAAATGGACAATTTGGGAAAAGCAGATACGATTGCTCGAGCCTTGTGACTCGCTTTTTATGGTTATCGATTGTCAACAACTATAAAAAATGAGTTGGAAGGCTCGAAAAATCGTATCTCCTCTTCCCAAATTATCCATTTCTGTGCACGATCTGAGCGTCAATTAGGGAGACATTCCGCACGAATCGTTCTCAGCCAATGTAATTACGAACTTCGGTTCCATAGTTACGATTCCCGCATGGCGAACACGCGCCGAGCATTTTTTTCGGAAAGTATGTCAGCGCATCCTACGGCTAAGAGCGAACTCCGGCAGAGAATCTTTATGCAAAACACGAGCTACAATACTTCCGAACTCGAAAGACAGAATGAAACGATTTCACCGGGAGGGCAGACGAACTTTTAACAGTGTAACGTTAAAGAAGCTGTTTTCCGATCGAAGTATCGGAAATTCTTCTGGTCGTTTTCTCTTTCGTTCCGGCATAGCTTGAGAAGGAAAGAGAATGGAGGGGGGGGGGGGAGACTTCATAACGCAATCTCTGCCGATGCAATTACCGTTCGAAACGGACGACCAAAGGAGGGATTTAAGTTTTCTTCTTGAACTTTATCAATTTCGATTAACCGGCCGCCCAGAGGAAATGTGTTTAGCTTTTAATAAAGCCGGCGCAGTCGAGCAGAAGCTCGCGGACATTTGATTAGCTCTTCGCGTTCGATGCGAAATATTAAATATCGAAGAACGTACCGAGGAAGTTCACGGTTCTACGTAGAAGACGTAGGAAACGTACGGGTACCTCTGCTCGTGAATTATTTCTCGCCCATGACTCGGGAATGACCATGCTCGTTCTTTACCGAGTGTCCTTATTCTACCATCGCGTTTCGCTCCGTTCCGTTTCGCGTCGTTTCATCCACGTGTTTTACGTATTCCCCCCCTCCTGTGACGGTAATATATATAATATTCAATCTTCATAAAATTAAAATTCGATTTTTTCTAATTATTCTAACTACCTTAGGGAAAATAGAATTCCAACTTTATGGCAATTGAATGTTATTGTTATTATTATTATTTATTAAATGGGCTAATTACCCTTTAGATTGCAGAAAAAATAATATATATAGTATAAAAAATAATAAATAAAATAATATAAAAAAATGAATAAAATAATATAAAGAAATAATACAGAAAAAAATTAATGTTGCTACTATATAACCTTGACATTTCTAGTAATTCTATTGATACAATTGTAATGATCATAAAGGGTGCAATGGGTGTCTTCT